CAATGAAAGGTTTGATGGTTTGATTAGTGCGAAATGAAATAATTAAGCCCATGCTACCTATTCCTTAGGTTTATTATAACATTCATCACTTTCAATTAATAAGTTACTAAATTCTAAATTTCTAATTATGGTCTAAAATTAGCTTAGAATTGTTTTTTTTTTCTTCTGTAAACAAAGGACAAAACAGTTAATGTTTGTAAAGGTTAATGGGCATATATTTTCATATAACAATTTAATTGTGGGTGCGCGGTTTATCTGAGTAGGTGTGTGTGTGTGTGGGTGTATGTGTGTGCTGTGTGTGTGTGTGTGTGTGCACACATCCAAAAACTAAAAATCTTTCATCGATAATCAGCAACAAACTCCTAATTTTGGGAATATCCTGATAACAAATGACCAGCCTTTAGCTGTTACATTATCGTAACATCATCTCATACGATGGTCAAATATGGCTAAGCAAAGAGAAAATAATAACTGGAATGAAAATTTTTGATGGAAAATTTATTTCGATAATATTGGTTTGTTTTTTTTTTTTCGTCCTACACAAAGAATGAAAATCAGTAATGAACGAAGAATGAAAGGAAGAAAATTACTGATTGTGCGTCAAGATCATTATCCATGCATACGTGTCGTTACAATAATTCATGAAAACATGATCAACGAGATCACGTCTTAACCGCTGCTCATCTACATCTATCATACGTATGTTGCGTGATTGATTACAGGAAGAGCTAAATTAAAAACGTTTCATAGTTATCAATAAAATTCTTCCTTACACTAACTCCCGATTTCATTGAATGATAACATTGGATTCAATCATCAAGAATTCCCCTCTTTCCTTCCTCCGGGATATCCCTAATCATCGGTATTTTTTAAAAGAATGCTTGTATGAGGGAAGATCCCTAGATGGTCCCTAGATTTTTTTTTCCTACTAAATTATGCATCCGCTGACCTCTTAGAACATAGTATTCTGACCTTTTCACCCAACAGAAATAGGTACCACAAAGAAGTATAAGGGAGAGTGAGTGAAAATGATAGATAGACAAAGAGGCAGACATAGGCAAACACATATAATGCAATCCATTGGGCAAGAAATTGGGAAAAATTGTAGAAATTAAACGAACAGAAAGATCATACACACACAGTTCCATAACGACAGACGAAGAGACAGACTGGACGATAGACACATACAGAGACCGAATTCATCAAAATTAAAGTGGTGGACAGACAAATGGACAGATGTATTGCACACACATATTGAAGATGATGGACAGACATATACATACATCTTGAAGATGGCAGACAGACATATACATTTATGAAATGAGAAACAGATAGAGGAGACACATCCTAGAAAAGGCTATCAATTAATTAAGGGATTGCTAGTGTAATAGCAACACGTGGCCAACTGTCACATGCGTGTCGTACTGTAGCAGTGTGTGGTGCAGTTGAGCGACAGTGCTATCGCGTGACATAAAAAATCACTCCACATCAAGAAGATACAAATCACAGAGACATGTTACATTTATCCAATTCCAATTCATTGCGCTGCTGCAACTTGGCGAGCAGCCAAGACGCAGTTCTGCAGCATTGATGGGGCGGTGCGTCGCGATGCAGCATACGCGACAGTCCAGTATAAAAGGCAACGCGGAGTGATACTACCCGAGCGAGTCTTCTATCGCCGTTCATCTCGTTGCTGCGTCTGATGTTGGCTCTCGCGGCTGGTTGTTGCAGCGGTCTATTAGCAACGAGTCGTACTGAATGGTTTTTGACGCGACATGATCTCTGCTGGCAAGTCGCCAAATTGCAGTTAGGCAGTCTGTAAAATGTAGGTGATGCATTGCTAATTTATTTGCGTGTGAAAGAGGAAGGAAATGGACGACGCTGGCGAATGTCACGTAAATTCGGGAAGTACACGTAAAAAATATTGAAAGAGGATGAAAGTGGGGAAATGACGCACGATCGGGTCGAAAATTAGTTGAACATGCCTAATTTCACAGTGTTATCTAACAACTGTTCAAGTTGATGGAAAAAAAAGTTGAGAAAATGGGATAATTTTAGTGTAAGAATTGATTCAAAGAATGGTGGAGATCGAAGGCTCATCGATTGTATTATCTTTCATTGTAAAAAATTCTATTCATTGAAGGGATAGTATTGAAAAGAGAGAGACTGAAAGAGATGAAAAATTGATGTAAACAAATATAGCAAAAGGGGTTTTGAAGCGCTATGACTGATCGACAAATAACTATAAACGTAATTTACGTCAAGGAGATTTGACCTCAGCGATCATTGATCAGCAAGAGTTTCAATGTCAAACAGTTCTTTGTGTATACGTATGTTCAATTATAGGATTCAAATGATAGATTTAAAATGCTAAAAGGATTGACAAAATTGATGACTAAAGTTAAAGTGTTTAACTTTTTTTTTTTCAGGTCAAATAAAAGAAAAGGTTTTTTTCTCGTAACTATTTACTAAATAGTCTGTACTTTTTAATATCATTTTGTTGTATGCATCTAGTATAAACATATGTTTTACTTTTTTTTTCTTTCCGATATACGTGCAACGAATGAATTGGTAAAATTCGTTATCGACCGAACCGTATTTTGGAGTTAAACGTAGTGGTAATATAAAAGAAGGAGAAAATGAGAATAATGTGAAGAATAAAGATTGTATTTAAATGAAATTTATATACGAAAAAAATGCCAATTTCTTGTTTTTCTTACGTATACTTTTTTTTTGACAGTTTGGAGTCTTTTTTTTTCTTTTTTCCTTCTGGAAATTAGCGCGCTAATTTGCATATCAAAGAAAAAGAATCCTCACAATGTAGGAATGAACTGCTAAAAAAGAGAGTGCATATCTGAATGAACGATTATCGATTGACAAAAGCCGAACTGCTCATTCTAATAGTCATTCTCCCAGTGATGAAAATGAGGGAACTGTCCTCCGGTCCTCATGGCTTTACCAACGTACGGTGTTATTGTATATAAGTGTGTGTGTCTGTATGTCTCTGTGTGCGTGTGTCCGTACGTGTATATGTCTGTCTGTGTTTGCTTTGAAGCAATCTTGAATATGTGTTCTTTAATAATAATAAGCTAACATATAGCTAGACGACGCATGATTATACATACGTTTCACGTACTTCATCTAAATTCAGCATTTTTTTTTCTTTTTTCTTTTTCTTTTTAATTTAAGCTTCATTTATTGTCCTTGGTCCAATGGTGAACAGCAAAAAGCGGAGAGAGAAATATATCCATCCTGATTTAATGGTGTAGATTGAAATGAAATTCGAATCTGGAATTGAAAGTTGTCGTACTTTCACTTATCCTTGACGTATTCTAACATTCCTTTCTTTTCTTTTTTCTTTTTTTTTTTGAACGAACACTAGTTTAATTGAAGTAATTCATTGTTGTTTCCATCAGGTTTTATTCTGCTGTGTCAGATTTGTTTGTCTCGTATCGAAAAAATTTGCAATTTTAATAATTTATTAAAGCTAATTGTCGGACTATGAGTTACTCTTGACTTATTCTAGCATTCCGTAGGAATCAATAGATTATTATGCATGCATTAGGCGAAAGTATCGCACGTGTTAGACGGATAAGTGACCATGTAACAATACATGTTAGGCGTTGATGACATATCATAAGCCTGCAGAACAGAATGAGGACGACACAAACAACTGCTAGACATACGTTTATTGCTTTAGCATGTCGTGAAAATTAGTAGTGCCTCACTTATTTGTTAAACTTATAACACGCGTCTCAGGTGCTGATAACGTATGACGCGTAGCGTTATATGTAATTATGGCGTTAGGTGTAATTAAAACATGCTAAGAGTTGGTTCTCTTTCGCCTAACTTGAGTTCTGTCATCGTATTTACAATATTCGCTTCGTATTCAAAATTTTTTAAATATTTCTAAAGGATTTTAAGATTCGATTTTATTTATAGGGTTCACATACGAATGGATGATTTGCTAACTGCAGCGATATGTGAAGCTGGTTTAGAAGAATTTTTGTTGGCACCGGAAATCACTGGTGAGGAAGTGGAAAAGACATCCGGAAATGATGTGTCAATTCGGCAAGTTCATACCGATGATCAAGCGAATTCTTTGGCGGAATTTTCATCTGAAAAAGGAAAAGCCGAATCAAAAGATAGGAAACAACATATAGAAATATTAAGTGATGGTTGTTTAACTCTACCTTCATGTTCACATACCGATTCTGGAAGCAACTCTCGGTCGGATACGCCGTGTGTTGATGATCCCTCAAATAGCATCACCGAAAATGCATCCCCAGCAGCCATCCAACAACAGTTGGTTGAAGTCATTGGAACGGTTGAATTACCGAGTGATATGAGTTTTGGCAATGTTAAACGGACAATTTTATCACAACCTGGAAGTACCGGCAAGTTACCGGATGGTGGAAGCAACGTGTTCCGTTTACGACGCCCAGTTACATCAACACAGCAGCGATTGCAGCCAAACAATGTGACGGTGAACTGATATATTTTTTCAATTATTTTGAGCATAAAGTGATTTTTATGTCGTTATAACTTTAGGTAACCAAATCTTATTTCTAGAGTTGTTTTGTGTTAAAGTTAAAAGGTATAGTACATAGTTTCAAGTTCTAAGTATTTTTCAGCCAGTCAGGAACGTAGGAACAGCGCGACCGACAGTAAAAGTATCACATGAAATGCGTCGAGCCGTCAGTGAAATTAGCGATGACAATGATGTTGAAATTATCGGGGGAGCATCGTGCATGGGTGGTGCGTCTTGGAACTTACCACGTCGCGTGGTAGTCATGCAGCAACGTCCCAAAAATGGTTCAGATTTCATTTAAAGTTGAAAGGGGAATAAAACACACTGAAATTTCACTGCTCTTTAATATACTCAATTGTTTGCAGCACTATTCTATTACACTGATTCACCAGTTTCTTTGCATAGGTGTGATTTACGTTCGTCAACGTAACTGGGACATTATACCACGGCGTATTGCACCTACGCGTACAGTCTTGAGCCGAAATGGTAATGGAACATTTGCTCTACGTGGTAGTCGCATAATTCGCCCAGTTTTCCGATCAGATCGATCAACTCCTGTATTCTTGCAACGGTAAACAATTTCTCCATGTAAAAAATGGTTACGGAAATCCAAAGTTTTGCTTCAGGTTGAGAACCTTATTCAGTCCCCTTTTTTTTTCGAGAAAGACGCATAAGTTGGAGGTTTAGACCAAACACTGAATTATCAAAATGTGTACTTGGGAAACGATTCTTTTCATTCCTTTGTTTTTTACAGAAGCAGTACACCATCGGGATGCATTGAAAGAGATCCAGTGAACGTTTTGCAAGAAACGGGGCATCAGTATTTGCCTTCAGCGGCATTACGACCAAACAGCATATCTGCATCAAACACACAACCAAGGATTATACGGAATTCAGTTTTACGCCGAACATCTCCAGTGACTGTGCAAGGTTCTCGTCCCACTGCAGCAACAACCCGTGTGGTACCAAATCTACAGAGGGCTCGAAGCCATTTAGCTGGTTCTATTGCTACTATGAAACCTAATGCATCCGATGCATCAAAAAATAATTGTAATAATGAAAAACGACAATTCGATGCAACCAGTCGGATACGTGTGCTTGGAAATTCGATTGAACCAAGGCTACCTGTGGGTGAAGTTTTGCGACGTATTCGGGTAACTGAGCAAAAGCCATCACATGCTGATGAATGCCGTGGAAGGACTGCAGGTGGTAGCGGGACATCGAAAGATGAAGTGTTCTTTGATAACTCACGCACTAATGAACGTAAACTCTTGAATCATGTGCTGGAACAGAAAGAAAGGAAGTCATCCGTGAGGAATGAAATGGAAACAGCCATGCAGTACCGTATTAATCAAAATGATCAGGATATTGATGATGAGGTTTAGTTTTTATTTTGTTATCATATCACAATTCTTTTTTTGTCTCGAAACTTTTGTTCTTATATTCTCCGAATTTTGAAAATTTACGGATTTGTTATGAAAATTTGAAATTATTGCTTGGTTTTATCGCAGAGACCATAATAGTGATCAAAGCCATATTTCATCATTCCGATCATGTATTTTGAAGAAACTAAGTTGAAACCATACCTTACTTGTTGGTTTTTCTTTTTTTTTGTTGTAAAATGTTTGCTAGGAATAATTAGACATATTGATTCTTAAGCGAAATGTTAGTTGAATAGTACTGTGACTACATCGTGAATCTTGTTTAAAAACTCATGTAACTTTCAACTTTCATCAGAAGACTGAATGGATGACAAATTGCAGTTATTAGGAGTTGAACTTTGGCTTCTATAGACCGAAATAATTTTCTTCAGTAACTTTTAGGAGGAGAATTTGGGTTACGCAGAAACATATGCAGATTACCGTCCAACGAAGCTTCGTTCCGGTTTATCACATCCGGATAGTGTTATCGAAACTGCATCTTTGAGCAGTGTTGCGCCACCAGATATACGCTATAATTTGACTATTCCGGAAGAGGTCTGATTTGTTGCTTCTTTTGACTTCCGAAAGATATGATATCCAATACAAGTTTCGTAAAAAGTTTCTTCTCTTGTAATTTATCTTCTCATTCTTCTAAAGATTCGAATCAAATGCAATCTCATATCCTTCAAATTCTTCTCTTGTAATTTATCGTCTCGTTCCTCTAAACATTCAAATCAAATGTAAAATTTTTTCTGAAAAAGGTAGAATCAACTCAGCCTTTCAAATTCGAATATTTCAGTTTCGTTTTCTTTAGCACTTCCTGTTTATTCTATGCATTTAAGGTTGTTGTTTTTCAGATCATCGATACAGGTGCGATTTCAGCAGTACAACTAGAAGCAGTAGTATATGCTTGTCAAGCGCATGAGATGCGTCTTCCGTCGAATGAACGTGTTGGCTATTTGATTGGTTAGATCCAGTTATTTTTAATTAAATGGTTGTCTCACCCTCGATTTCCTGTTTGCATTATTCCTTCTCACTGTCCTGCTTCTTTTTTTTTTTATTTCTGTTTTTTCGTGTCATGTTGTCAAGCTGAAATTCTCCTATAAGTTGGATTCTGTCAGATACAAGTATACTGGTTTTTTCATGTTTTGAGTAGGTCTTCGGAATCCACCATCTTTTCAGCGGCTTGTTTCAGCACTTTATCGACTTGTTTCATTTTTGATACTTTTTCAGTTTCTTTTTCTTTTGTTTTTAATAATTTAACCTCAGTAGTAGTGTTTTGTTTTGTCCTTATTTATTTATTTGTGTCAATAGTAATATTATCTTTTCTAATATCTGCTCCACTGAGTATTGCATTACATAATTCTGTGTCGATTTTGTAGGTGATGGAGCTGGTGTGGGTAAAGGAAGAACGATTGCTTGCATCATCTTTGAAAATTACCTCTTAGGACGCAAACGATCTATTTGGTAGGATTTCCTTATTTTTATTTAGAAACTAATTGTTTTCTAAATTAAATAGTGATGGAATTTGTAAGTTTTCGGCTCTTGTTTGCATTTCGGATTTTATCACATTGTTATTCGACCGTTTATCTGTATCAAATGTGTCAGCTAAAGAAAAGAAGGATTTCTGATTTTTCTGATTTGAAAATGATGTTTTTGTAGGCTCAGTGTTTCGGCTGATTTACGATACGATGCCGAACGTGATTTGAGAGATATCGGTGCTAAAAACATCAAGGTTTATGCTTGGATTGTCCTTTCATTTCCTGAACTAATGGTTAAAATTTTGGCATATATATTATGCTATATATTAATCAATAAATATTCTGGCTTTGTTTTGTTGGATATGGCACTACATTCATGCTTTTAGGTTTACGCATTAAATAAATTCAAGTACTCCAAAATTGGTGGAAAGGAAAATGATGTCAAGAAAGGTTGCATTTTTGCAACGTATTCATCACTCATTGGTGAATGTCGTTCATCAAAAGGTAAATACCGAACAAGGCTTAAACAACTAATCCAGTGGTTTGGTCAGGTTAGTCTTTAGTTTCATTCTAATGTTCATGGGTGTCTGAATTTGTTTAGACATTGCGTTTATCACTGCGGCTCAGTCAGACTCAAACATAAATTGGAATGTCTAATACTGAAACATTTCATCTACGTTTTTAATATTTCATTTTAAGCTATATTGTGCTACAAAAGTTGCTCCAATAGTTCTGGTGCAAATATATCGGGACTGTAGAGCATTATTTGATCGCATAATATAAAGCATTTTTGGTAGTAATAGTTTTTGCACTAGGCCATGTAATACCCCGCACTAAGAAAGCTCATAGTATCATAGTTCTCTTTCACCTATTTGTTGGTTTTAGGATGTTAACTGTACTTTACAGTCCCGATATATTTGCCATGTTTGCGGCTTTCATTATGTTTCTTCCTATTTACAAATAGAATTTCTCAGACAGTTATTGTATTTCCATCATTTTTTTATACTTACTATATCAGAAAATTTCAATTCTTTGCCTAGTTTCTTCATATTTAAGTCATTGATAACTTCAGTTTTAAAAGATCACAATCTGCTAGGCTTATAAAATTGTTGGGGAAAGATTGGAAGGAGAAATTATGTACTCCTCCTTTATTGTTCTGGTTGTAGGATTACGACGGTGTTATCGTGCTTGATGAATGCCATCGTGCCAAGAATTTGGTTCCAACATCTGGTTCGAAACCGACGAAAACAGGTAGAAGTGTTATGGAACTGCAGAAAGCCTTACCAAATGCCCGAATTGTTTATGCTTCAGCTACTGGTGCAACAGGTATAAATTGTACCACTAATTCGGATATACGTCAGTTTTGACTATATAGCCAATGCTGATTCATTTTCATGAAACTACGATCTCCCACCAGTTAAATCAACTATGGAATGTTTGTATGAATTTAAGATGTTTTATGGAATTACTGTTTTTAGAGCCTCGAAACATGGCATATATGACACGTATAGGGTTGTGGGGACAGGGACAAGCATTTCGAGAATTCAGTGATTTCATTAATGCTGTCGAAAAACGAGGCGTTGGAGCTATGGAAGTAGTTGCAATGGATATGAAGGTTTCTGTTTTAGCACATTTAACCAGTGTTCCTTCGCAACTTTTATTGGTGACGAATTTTCCAGTCCAGTTTTTAGATTTATTAAAAGTTGGTCAAAAATTTTTAGCAGCGTGGCCTTTATCTGGCGCGACAGCTTTCTTTTCGCGGTGTTAGCTTTCGGGTTGAAGAAGTGCCGTTGTCGGCAGATTTCATCGAAGTATATGATGCATCGGTTAAAATATGGCTTGAATGTCGAAGACAATTTCAGGTCCATATACTTTGATGCATGTTCGTTTGATTAGTAGAGGATAAAAGTAAAATAAATGATATGAGTGACATTCTAAATCATGCTGTTTAGGTCCCACTAGCATTATAAACAATAAATTGGAGAGTAAACAATATTGACGGTGTTATGTACTTTTGAAAGTATAAATTGGGTATGATTTTCTATTATTTAAAGTAATGAAAAAGTTTTTTGCAGGCTGCTCTTTCTCGTCACTGTGTTGGTCGAGCGCAGATAAAACTAATTTGGGGACAGTTTTGGGCGGCACATCAAAGATTTTTCAAATATATATGTATTGGTGCAAAGGTACATTAGGAAGACATATTCGTTATAGTTTTTGCAGTTGAAAAAAAATTCGAATCATTTCCTTACTGTATAAATTAATTGAATAACAGGATATTCACCTGTACCATTTGATAAAAATAAACGTTCAGTGGCATTAAAAATTTTTTTTGAAATGGGAGAAGACAATGAAATTAAAAGTGTACAAATAAAAACATCCAAACTTTATTTAGGTAAAATCATGTGTCAAGATAGTGCGTGATGCAATAAAAGCCAATAAATGCGTTGTGATTGGTTTACAAACTACCGGTGAATCGAAAACACTGGAAGCACTTGACGATGCTGGTGGCGAATTGACGGATTTCGTATCTACTGCCAAGTTTGTCTTGAACGAAATTTGGTAAAAGTGCTCAGTAAGGCGTGACATAATCAAGGTCGAATTGACTAAAATTGATGTTCATAAGTATGACTTTGTTCGTACATGGTCATGCATAAGTAACTGAAAATTTTATGAAGAATGGTAATTTAGAGCGGTGTTGGCGAGGCTTATAGAAAAACATTTCCCAACGGAAAATGCGAATTCTTCAATGGATGTATATACCAATTTCGACAAATTGTGCAATGAATTAGACCGCCCAGCTAAACGCAAATGTGCGCATAATAGAGTATTATGTGTTGTAAAATGAAAATTGTGTGCGACTACTGATGACTATCCTCCGTGTTATTGCTACCTTACAGAGTTCCTAATTAAATCAATAGTCGTATCATATTTAACCAAAAAGTCGTATTTTAAGTCACTGCCATCACATATCACCATGATCAAGAAAAAAGCTGTGTTGAATAATTCCAATTTGCGTTAAGTGATTTCAAACTTTTGTTTATATATATATTGATAAAAAGTAACAAGAAATATAAAAGACATTCATATTTTTCGCCTGTTTCAGTGGAAAAATTGGGATCTGTGAATTTATCAGCCTTTGGTTTACCTGCAAAACGAATGAAACAAAGTTCCGCAGAACAAACAGATGAGGAAGAACAGGCTGATTCGGATGGTACCGAATCATCAGCTCTAGAAGATAGTTCGCTATCAACGGAAAAGGAAGAAGAATCATCTAGTGAAGAGGGAGAGCGTACGTCTTTTTTTTCCGAATTGATTTAGAGCAGTATTGTGATTGGTACTTGTATAATGACAGCTTGAATTACAAGTCAAGTCATTAGAGATCGAATTGGGAATTAGTCTCAATGGCCAGCGACATTGAAGAGGCAGAATAATTGTTTTTGAATAAATTTAATTCTAGAAATTAAAAAATATCTTGTGCAGAATTAGATTGCAGAACTAATACAAGTATTATCATCACTATGGTATTGAATGCTCTTTGAGGGAAAATAATGGACTATATAGAGCGCCAAATCTCGATTTTTTGTATTTCAGTATGCTGTGCTGTATACGGAGCACAACATATTGAAATACAAAATAGATTACATGCATTTTTTCTGGTTCATTTTTCTGGTTGCTGGTAATGAGGTACCGAAAACCCCACAAATCACATTTGTGTAATGAGATTTGTGCCAGATTTCACGAAACCAATGAGATAGGAAAAGAAGCTGAAAATTATATAATTTTTAACTCGAGTTTTTTTTATTTTGTCACTCAATATGATTGTTTGTGACGAATAAGACCACCTTTTATGTCCACATTAATGGATAGGATAATCATAAAATAATAACTGAAAAAAATGAATCTGTATATGCCAAAATAAATAGCGAAAGTTGTTTCGAGTAAAAAAGATTCTGTAATGTTGAAGCTACATTTCCATATTATTTTTCTTTCCTCATTATTTATTCCTCTAATTTAGCATCAAATGGAGCCATCCAAGGTGACGAAGATACCTGGTTGCAAAGATTATTGGATGAGGCAAAAAGTTCAGATGAGGAATCAGCTGAAGGAAAAAGTGGCAGTGAAAAGGAAAAAGAAAAAAGTGATGAGGAGGAATTGAATCCATTTACTTGTGATTTGGCTAGAGGTATAATTTTGAGAATCTTCTTTCAGAAATTAATAATTTTCAGCGAATATGAGAAGTAAAAAAACAAGTCCTATTATATTTCCAGAAGATCCATGGGCAGCAAAGCAGCAAGTTATCTCGGACTCACCGAAGAAAAAAAAATTAAGAAAAAGAAGTTGAAAAAAAAGCAGAAGAAATCCACGACTAGTAAGATCGATTCTACAGCAATGGTAAGTTTCTCTTTTGGAGATATAGGGTATGACGTGAAATTTTTTTTTACGAAGAAATTTACGAATAATTTTTATCTTAATTTTTTTTATCGTTACTGGATACGGATAACTAACTAGCGAGTGGGTTGAGTGGACATAATCAGCGGATGAATTAAATGGGATTAATGTGGCATACGATACTACGAGTTTTTTAAACAAATTTGCCATGTCATTGATTAATTTTTTTATGCAGTCGAAACTAATAGTGCTGATTCGGTCATATATCAATGTTAATCCTTATGTTAATAATAAGAAGTATGAGATAATTATGTTTTATTAGTGCAAAAAATGATTATGCATAAATAAATACAATTCATTGCAGCGTAGTACTGCCGATGTTTTCATGTCATCATCGCGTCTGGTAAGCGATGAGGATCTTACGCTTGGTGAAACTTCACTAATCAAAGCAGAGCTGCTAGCTGCTGTAGAGCGTCTAAGTCCCCGACTGCCACCAAATACACTTGATCAGTTGATCGACGAATTGGGTGGTCCTGATTATGTTGCTGAGGTTTATTCTTATTCTAATTTAAAATATTTGCATATTTTGATTCTCAGTGCGGGATAGTATGATTTATTGAATGAAAAAAAAAATTTATCAATTTTGCATTTATTTTTATAGATGACGGGTCGTAAAGGTCGTGTTGTATGCCGTGAAGATGGAGATGTTGAATATGAACTTCGACATGCGGGGGCAGATGTGCCGCTTGAATTAATGAATATGGATGAAAAAGATAAATTTATGAAAGGCGAAAAATTAGTTGCTGTAATTTCAGAGGCAGCATCTTCCGGTATCTCATTGCAAGTTTGTGTTATTCCTTTTCTTCCGTTTTTTGGAATGAATCCTATTTGTATATTCAAGATTTAATGTCTTGGATGAACTAATAATAGTTTACTTTTAGTCAGATCGAAGAGCTGCAAATCGTCGACGTCGCGTACATATCACGTTGGAATTACCTTGGTCAGCGGACAAAGCTATTCAACAATTTGGTAATTTCTTTTTTCTTTTTTTTATCTTTTTCTATGACTCAGCAAATACATCCTGGACGGCAAAAGTTTTGGAAAAATAAAATACTGTTTTAGGGCGTACACATCGTTCAAATCAAGTGAGTGCACCGGAATATATATTCTTAATATCCGAACTTGCTGGTGAAAAAAGGTAAGTTGATATAGTTTATATTGCTTTTCTTTTCTCACTTCTCAGAGCATGAAACCGACTCTCTCACTAATGGTTAAACATGCTTTGATGGTTCCCATGCTTACATTTTTTGGTATACGTTACAAAGCAATAAAAACTTTTCTTTGAATTTATTGTCATGTGTAAGTTGTTAGATCGTGCTTTATACAGGTTTGCATCAATTGTTGCGAAACGGTTGGAATCTCTCGGAGCGTTAACGCATGGTGATCGTCGTGCAACAGAATCACGTGATCTAAGTCAGTTTAATTTGGATACGAGGTATGGTCGAGCGGCTTTAGATGTATTATTGCGAACGGTTACTGGATTGCTCGACCCCCCGCTTATACCACCACCGAAGGATTATAAGCCTGGAAACTTCATCACTGGTAAGTGCTTATTGCTCCGATCTGCTGAAAATGTAAATAAGTGACTTGATTTGGTGCAATGTATTTTTGATGGTGAATTTTAATGATTTTGCAGAGCTTTTTTTTTACAAAATTTACTGAAAGAATTTACAGATATGCAGTGTTATATGGAAGGTGTTGGTTTGCTGTCACTGGATAATGGTGTATATACAATTGAAAAAGAATCTGCAACCATACCGAAATTTCTGAATCGTCTTCTTGGCTTACCAGTGCACGCACAAAACGCACTTTTCCAGTACTTTTCCGATATCGTTGCTGAATTGGTTGCACAGGCAAAGCATGATGGGACATATGATATGGGTATTATGGGTAAGCTATCATTTTTCTCTGTGTTTGATTGGAATCAAGACACATATTGTTGTACTTACTTATCTAAGCATTTTATTCAATTCTGAAGTGATGTTTCAGACCTTGGAATGGGTGGTGATGAAGCACGTAAATTGGAAACTCGTATATTCATGGGACACTATGAAAGTGGATTTTTCCGAGTCGAGATTCACAAAATTGGTGTGGAACGCGGTGTAAGTTGGGAGGATGCTTATGCAATTTGGAAAGATCATCATGAAGATCAGGTAAATTTAAGTGCATCCCAACTTATAGAAATTTCATTGTTGAAAAATTGGAGATCAGTTGTTAACGCCAATTCGATTCGTAATATTATCATACCGTTCTTCTTTCATAAAAATTTAGGTAACCTTTCAGGATGGATTTTATCTGGCATCAGTTGGTAATAATGGGAAGAAGACTGCAGCTCTTGTTTATGGTATCGGCAAGAAACGTTTGGATACGGGTGCGCGCCTTTTCTGCATAACACGACCAAGCACAGGTCGAAGTGCAAAACTGGAAACAATCGATGAGCTAACAAAACGTTTTTATCTTGCTACTCCGGAAGAAACTGAACAAGTTTGGAAAGATCTGTTTGAAGGTCAATAGATTTGTATCATCACGAAGTCAAAATTTCGAGTCAAATCTTACAGAAAGCTTCTTTCCGAATTGCTTATTTGGACACAAATGTTGTCCTTTCGATTTCATTCAGTTGAAACTTTGTCTAATGATTTTCTTCGTTAATTTCAGGTTCAAACAAGACCTGTCAGCATAATTATTTTCATGGCCGTTGCCGGAACGAAGCGATGGGTGTATACTGTGAAACCGGACGACGGACTCGGACTTACTTTGTTCTTTCTGGTTCGGTGCTCTCGGTATGGCCGATCGTCGAAGAAGTATTGTCCGGTGGTATGTCGACTCGAGAAATCAAACGATCACAGCGGATGCAGATAATTCGTGTCAGAACACCTCAAGATCATAAAATTGTTGGTATGACTTTTTGCTTTGTATCTAAATAAAGATGGTATTTCTAATTGTGACTAGCTATGCCATATACGTTGCTTTACATAAGATTTCGTTTATGAATTTATGTTCTGAAAACTAATTTTTTACTCCTTTGCATCAAGTTTGCAACTTTCTACAATATTAAAATTGATTCTGTAATACTGCATCCTAAAATTTATTATTTCAGGGTTATTAGTTCTGCCACAATATGTACGAACACTAGTTGCGCGTTTCGAGAAACACTGTGGTGGTTGTGTGGAATCGAAATCAACAAATACTTTAAACTAAATTGTTACGATGCTGAAGAGCTTTATGGTAAAAATGTACGTGTACATGTTCACATGCATTCACTTTTTTCATTTAGGCTCTCTTTCATGAGAGTAGTTCTCAGTTAAATGTTTATTTTTTATCTTGTGTTATATTCATGATTTTTTCTTTTTTTCCTGGTGATTGACTATTAGGGTGAATCGAGGAGTTTTTCTTTTGTTCCAGAAATTTTAATCAAAATTGTTTTGCTTGTTTACAGGATTTCTCTCTTGTTATCTGTGTATACTTAACAAAAGCAAGCCAGTATATCTGTTGTCTGTTGAGGAATTGGTTTTTTGCTCGTTATCATGTAAATATTTCTGTTTTGCGTTACTTCAACTTTCACTTTTCTTACACCTAATGTATGCTTTGCGTTGTTATTGTTGACTCATTAATTCTACCATTTATGTATTATTTCATCCAGCTAATTGCTGACATAACCTTTCCACACATTAATACACAATGTGTTCTGTGTTAATGATTTTTTTCAAATGAATTTGCATTTATGCGCAGTTCTTGAACACTAATCACAATTTTACACTTTGCTCAACATTCAGATAGAACTTAACGAGATATTTTTGCAGAAGCGGTTAGAAAATTATGTGACATTTATTATTTTATATTTTTCTTCCATTAATGGAGTGCACAGGACATAATATTTAGTTCACACAAAGTATATTTGCTGGAGAGTTCGATCTCTCAAATCCAACCACCCACAAACTCCCATTTTGTAAAAACATTGAAGGAATAAGGTTAGTTGTTGGTCATTATCAATTTGGACATTTGACATACTTAAATGTCGCGTCGCGTTACGCTGTCTGACA